ATTTTTTAAGTCAGAGGACTATCAATACCTTCTGACTAAAGCAGTTAAGGCCCTAGAATTACACGATGTGCCTGCCTCTGAATATCAGAAGGCAGGCAAGACCAAAATTAAGTCTAAATCAGGTGGCAATAGGGAATTTTTTCCACCTGAGGAATGTACGGAGAAGGTGTTTCCTTTTCCTGAATATTTTGAGCGCCAATTAAGATCTGGCTGGGAAAAACCATTAGCTAACAAACAGTTTCCTGTTTTCACTAAGAAATTATATGCTATGCCTAACTATGCTGATGAGTTGTTACAGGTGTCACCAGTAGACGCTCCAGTGGCGGCACTCCAGACAGCGGGCCTAGTCTGTGAAGATGTATTAGGCAGCCTCAGAGAGGCAACGGATAAGAAGCTTGAAGTAACCCTTCGGAGGATCCACGAGTCTATCGCCATGATGGTCAGGGCAGCGTTCACGGCCTCCATCGCCGCAAGGGCATCTATAGTCTGGTTGCGGAAGCTGGTCCAACTCATTCCTGAAAACAACCGGGCCTTACTGGAAGGAATCTCCCGCACTCTCAAGTTTGATTCCTTTACGGCCGACGCTACATTGGACATTATCTCATTTGCTTCCAGGGGCCTGGCTTCTACAACTGTAGCAAGGAGAATGCTCTGGCTGCGGGCGGACGCCCTTTCCAAGTCCATTGTCACCGCCTGTCCCTTCCAGGGGGATCGTTTGTTTGGAGAAGCACTCGACAACATCTTAATGGAAACCAGAGACAAAAAGAAGGCTATGCCTCGATCTCTGAGACACACAGACAGATGCAACCCTCAGTCCTTTCGTTCTCACCATACCCTGCCGCGATTTCGTCAGGACGTCAAAAAATATACATGGGATTCTACCAAACAATCCAACAGACGTGGCTCCTTCAACCCCCGTTTCCAGAGATCGCAGTTCAACAGAAACAACAGGGGTGCAAGGGAGACCAAACCCAAACAAAATTGACTATGCCGATCTTCCAGTCGGAGCACGACTTCTTCATTTTGCCAGGACTTGGTCGGAGACCCAGGCGGATGCCTGGGCAGTGGAAGGCGTGTCTCAAGGTTACACGATAGAATTTCTTTGTCACCCTCCAGAACGATTTCTGCAATCACCAGCAAGCAAATCCGCAAACAAAAGATCCATCATCGACAAGGCTATACAACACCTTCTCAACATCAGAGCCATAGAACCGGTCCCATCTGCCGAAAAGGTCGGGGAGTTTATTTGATATTGTTTATGGTTCCCAAAAAGAACAGAGACTGGAGGGCGATTCTGGATCTCAAATTTTTAAACAAATTCATCCGTCTACGCCATTTCCGCATGGAAACCCTCAGAGCAGTAGCGGACTCACTATCTCCCAACGAGTTCCTGACATCCATAGATATAACAGAAGCGTATCTACATGTCCTGATCCACTCTGCTCACAAGAAGTACCTTCGTTTTTGCATCTATGGTCAAGATTTCCAATACCGAGCCCTCCCCTTTGGTCTCTCCATGGCGCCCAGGCTGTTCACCAAGCTGATTGTCAACCCAGTGAGTCATCTCAGAGACCAGGGGATCCATGTGCATCTGTACTTGGACGATTTGTTGGTTCGGGCGAGCACGCACCAGGAATCCGTTCACAATACAGAAAGGACAATCCAATGTCTGCACAGTCACGGATTTTTAATAAACCGTGAAAAGAGTTCTCTAACTCTGAGTCAGCAAGTCGAACGTCTGGGTGCGGTGATCGACACCACGCATTCCGCTCTGTTCCTTCCAGGGTCCAAGGCGCAGAAGATCAAGACCATCGCTACATGAGTCTTCCGCAGCAAGTTCTCCCCCTTGATGGAGTTAGCCAGTCTCCTGGGTCTCATGATAGCCAGCATCGACATGATCCAATGGGGCCGCCATGCACGCAAGATCCCTGCAAATGTTCCTCTGTCCTCATCAGCTAAGCATCATTCAAAGGAAGACGATCAATCTACAGGTTCCCCTCAGGGTCAAAGAAAGCTTACGGTGGTGGACAGACATAAACAACCTGACAACCGGGAAGTCATACTATGTTTGTCACACCATGGAACTTTTCACAGACGGCAGCCTTCTGGGCTGGGGTGCGACGCTAGAGGGTGTTCCGGTCCAAGGGGTCTGGTCATCAGCCGAGAGACTTCCGATCAATCTTCTGGAAATAAGAGCGATTCGTCTGATCCACTTCGCTTCCCGACTACGGGGACAATATGTACTGGTGAGAACGGACAACATTTCGGCCAAAGCCTACCTAAACAAGCAAGGAGGCTCGCGATCCTGCCGACTACACAAGGAGGCTATGAAGATCCTCCTCTGGGCGGAGAGGTGTATTGCATCCTTGAGGGCAGAACACATCAGAGGGATTGAGAATGTACAGGCAGACTGGCTCAGCAGGGAAACGTTGCAAGAGGGAGAATGGTCTCTTCATCCCCGTCTTTTCATCAAGGTAGTGCAGCACTTCGATCAACCTATTGCTAGACTTGTTTGCTTTGCCAATGAATCACAAGTTGCCGAGATATTACACCAGGTATTTTCATCAGGACGCAGAAGCGACGGATGCGCTCACGACGAGCTGGCCTCCGGGGTTGCTGTATGCATTCCCGCCGTTCATTCTGATATCCAGGACCCTTCGCAGAATCAGGGACCTCCAGGCGGAGGTCATCTTGGTGGCTCCTCGGTGGGCGAGACGTCCATGGTTCTCAGCGTTGCAGAGGATGTCCATCCTTCCACTGCTATGTCTACCGGTATCTCCAGACATGATCTCCCAGGGACCAGTGTGGCATCTGGACCCGGCCTGGTTTTCTCTGACCGCGTGGAGATTGAGCGGCAACGTTTAATGGAGTTAGGTTTCTCCAATCAGGTCATGGACACCATCATGGCTTCAAAACGAAAATCCACGACTCGCATATACAACTCTACCTGGAAAGCCTATGTTAGATGGTGTTGGCGCAAGAAGGTTAATGCGCTATCTCCATCCGTGGCTTAATTACTTTCGTTTCTGCAGGACGGGTTGGATACTGGTCTCCAATCTTCCACTCTACGTAGACAGCTGGCGGCTTTAGCTATGGTCCTATCTTCTGTAGAGGGTGTCAAGATCTCTGAACATCCCCATATTCGTCTATTCCTACAGGGAGCTGTGGCCAAATCTCCTCCTCAAAGGCATCGTTTTCCCACGTGGAGATTGAATGTTGTGCTTGAGGCCCTCATGAAAGTGCCATTTGAACCTCTTAGGGAAGTCGACTTGAAATGGCTGAGAATGAAAACCTTGTTTCTAGTTGCCATCACATCGGCAAGGAGAGTTTCTGAACAGAGTGCTTTGTCAGTAAAGTCATCATGTTGCACATTCCACAAGGACAAGGTGGTGCTTTTGACGGATCCTACGTTCCGGCCCAAGGTGGATTCCAGATTTCATCGTTCACAAGAAATCTGTCTCCCAACCTTCTGTCCTCACCCCAAACACCCTAAAGAACACCTCTGGCACACTTTAGACGTTACAAGGGCTCTTAAAATTTATAGTACAAGGACGGAGCCTTGGAGAAAATCTGAGTCCTTGTTCATAGGTATTTCACCGCCACACAAAGGGGAAAAGATGTTGAAATCTACCATCAGTTCAGTTCTGAAGTCTTGCATTGTGGAGGCCTACCGGGCTGCCGGACGTGATCCTCCCAGCGGCATCACGGCACATTCTCTGAGGAGTGCAGCAACTAATGCAGCATTGTTTAACAGGGCATCTGTCAACGAAGTCTGTAAAGCGGCGACGTGGTCTTCCATCTCCACATTTACAAGACATTACAAGATCCACACCATGGCATCTGCAGATGCAGCCTTCGGGAGAAGAGTTCTTCAGCACGCTGTAACATTGGAAGAAGATGATGACCCACCTGTATGAGGGACACTGCTCGAGGAGGTCCCATGGAGATGTCCCATGGAGAACGACCATTGGACACTTACCGTGAGGGGTCCTTCTCCTCTGAGGACTGGAGGACATCTTGGCCCTCCTGCTGTCATCTTTCTCTATTTTCACTCTCGTGTTGATCTCACCTTGTATTCCCCTACTTGGGGGTTTCTCTATCGTATAGAGTTGGGTTGTTATATGTTGAAGTTAATGTTAACAGTTATATTTTATAGGGCAAGGCTAGTGATTTCAGGCTGCACACACTGCTTTCGGAGTCCCAGAACTGGGGATGGGCTATTCCGAAGGCGCCAACAGGAAGGGGAAAAAACTATTTCCTGCCTCCCTAAAGGCATGGTGGGAATAACCCATGGAGATGTCCTCCTGTCCTCAGAGGAGAAGGACCCCTCACGGTAAGGGTCCAATGGTCGTTTCCTCTTCAACCTGACTGCTGTAACACTTCCCTTTAAACTTTAAAGGAACACTTTCCTTTAAACGTTTACCGCCGAAAATGACCTCCCGGAGATCCCGAACTCGTCTAAAGGCTAAAACTAGGCACCTTTTCAACATTGTTTTTAATAACCCTGTGGCGGACCTCCGCCTATGTGCACACCGCCAACGCTTTTTTAAAAATGGTGGGCAAAAAGTGGAAGCCTAGGGCAACTTTCGAGCGAGGAGGGGGTTTAAATGGAAGTGGCTCAATACCGGCAGAGAAGCGATCACACAGGGGGAAAATGTGGCTGGAACCAGAGAATCAGGAAAATACCACTTGGGGACCTGGTATCAAAATACTCCAGGTTAAAGCAGTTTTGAGCTGGAAAGCGACGGCTGGGGACGGGAGGCAGATGTTGACCGTGTGATCGCGCAGATAAAGTCAATTTCTGAGGTGGGCCGAAACAGCCCGTCTGAACGCACCCTGAGAGCACTTAAAATGGGCTGCAAAAGGGCTGGGGAGGCAGTAACGTTCCATTCTGATTATAGGTCTCCTGTGACAGTACTTGCCTCTGATGCTTGCAATTTTGTTTCAGTTCTGCAACACTAGCTTTAATGAAAATATTTTTTGCTTGCTCTAATATTTAGGAAGGCAGTGGATGAGCTTTTAAAAGAAGCCAAGCGTGGAAAAACCAGAGCAGAAACTATGGGGCCTATGGGCTGGTAAGTTTGTTCTTAAACAAAATGTGTTTCTCCCCCCCCCCCCCCTTAGTTCATACACTTTAAACAAATTAAACAATAACTTTTTGTTGTTATGCAGTTAAGTGTGCTTTTGTAGAAGTTCAATTGAAATAAATGAAAGTGAACTTTTCACTATTGCTGTGGTAGACCATTCTAAGCCTATTGACTTCAGTGGACTTTGAGGGATCTAACTCTGCATAGGGTTGTATTGTAATTAGAAATGGACCAGTTTCAGAACATTTTAGAACCATTGGACTATGTCTTCAAGTAAATAGAAGAAGCAGAGGAAATAATTTTGGACAACTTAACATCTTTTACATGTTCTCCATTTACAAAACCAAACAGATAGAAACCACAGTTTAATAAGTACTGTAGATCAAAACTGAATCTTATTAATAATGTCTGCATTGGAGTTGGTTCATATGCTGTGTTCATATGATTGCATTTGATAGCTTGAACTGAACATCATTTTTCATATTCAAATTATTGCATGATCACTCAGGATGAAAACTTCCATTTTGCTGTGCCAGCCAACACACATCTGCAAGAGCTAGTTGCAGGGTATGTTTGAAGCCTGAAATTGTTCATAAACTTGTTTAATTGCTCAATGAGAAGCTTTGTAGTGGTGGACAGGTTTCCTGAAAGGACACCTTGCCCACCACCACTGATCTTCCCCAGCAATACACACCTTCAGTGGACTTTTGAATACCTTTTTGAGGGTATTCTCAGTTTACCCAGAGTCCAGTAGACCTGCCCAGCACCCTGCGTATAATGAGATTAGGAAATGTTCCAAGATGTAGGAATCCTGGGGTGGATACCGATGGATTTGCTGGTAGAGAAGCCAGTATAGAAGATTCTCTGAAGATAGAAATCTTGAAAGCCACTGAGTTAGTATCTTGAACCTGTCTAATTCGTTTTTACTGGTAAGTTTCTCACACGTGTGCACACAAATCAGATTAACATTGCATTAGTCAATCAGTGATTCATGTTGAGTGACAGGCTACTATATCCAGTACCTCTTGGTATCATTGTTTAGCATTGCAGCAGCCTTCCACTCAGCATTGTGTACCTGAACTGTCAGAAAGGTCTGACAGAGCTGTCTCCAAACTTCATGAGGAAGCTTTTCGTCACAAGATAAAAGGATTAGTCTTCTTATGGGTTGGTGACTGATAAGTGTCAGTTTTCACAATGGAGAGAAGTAAGCCACAGAGTTCACAAAGGATTCAGATTTGGACCAGTGTTGTTTATGAATGCCTAGAGTCAGCAGTGAGATAGCCAAGTTTACTATTTACAAAAACAGAAGATCTCTGGGGGAAAATATTTGTTTATTTGCTTCATTTCTAGTCTGCCATTTTCGCCAAGACTCAAAATATAGAAGCAATGCAATCGAACCGGATATCTAATAAACAAAGTAATAAGACTGGTTACAGAACTCGAAAACAATGAAAAAGAGAAAATTACAAGACGTGACATAGCATAAACATTGTAAACACTGGATTACAAAAGTACACGACAGTGCAGTAATATTACAGGCCTATTCCCTCTATAAAATGACCTCCTGAACAATCTGTCTCATACACATTCCATGGAATGATAGAAGTCTGGAAGATCTTTGGCAAATGGCCATATAATCCTCTGCAGAGTTACTGCAGTCTAATCCCATTGATTTCAGGTGGCTTAAACTGGAGTAATTCTATAGGATTTCACAGTAAGTGACTGAAACCTGGAATATATCTTGGTTGCCCAAATAGAAAACTGACAGCATCAACGGGATGAAGATCAAAGCCGGATGATTCTTTCTAGCTCTTGGTCTTCTGTGTTCTTGGACAGAAATGCAACATCTGAAGAACAGATACGTGGTTGTACAGCAGCTGAATTATATACTGCTAACCACTGGCCTTTCGTATAGGAAGATGGATGGAGAGTATCCCAGGACTTCAAAACTCAGTTACCACTTTTGAATATGTCAAATGTATTTTCTAACATACTCAAGCCATTTTCTTTCTAGGTATCAAACTAGTCTTAAACATCTTGACCCATTCAGGTCAAAAATGCTACAAGACATTATTATACTTCTGAAACTGGTACTACTGCAATGTGTGATAAGAGCTGCATAGAAAAGAGTCTACCTGGCTGTTCTCAAATCTTGAGAACCTGGTCATGCAGAATGTCCGGAATGTCTTAGTCTTGCCATTTCAGAATAGTGTTGTCAGTGATATCTAGCACGGATTGAAACACTTGCTCCTAATGAAGACCTTAAATTTGCATCTCTTCAGAGCTAAATTCTTCTTTTACTGTTTGCACATGCATAGCTCTGAAACTACTTTTAATGTTGATCATGTGGTTCATCTAGATACCTTTCCAATATATTTTATCCTGCCCTTTTACATAGCTTTTTCTGTCCTCATTTTATCCTCCGAACCACCTTGTCAGGTAGGTTTAGATTGAGAGTGTGTGAATGGCCCGAGGTCACCCAGCAAGCTTCTGAGGCAGAGTGGGATTTGAACCTCGGTCTCCCAGATCCTAGTCTTGCACCCTAACCATTATAATATATTGGCTCTGTATATTCAGTAGGAAAGGTTTACTGAGTTCTACAATGCAATAGCTTTGGTTTGCAACCCCCCCCCCCCCAAAAAAAAATCGGTCATGAGCTGCAATCCTATTTATGTTGTTTTTTTTTAAGTGATCCCCTTGGATTTCAGTGAGACTGTGCATCAAGCTGTTTACCTGTATACTTGCTTAAAGACCAATTATCCATCATTCAGTTCTGCATCTTTGGATGTGATGGCAGATTTTTGTGTAGTCACAAAAGTCACTAATAGCTGTTTTCTTCTATATTAGAAACCTGGCTATTTGGTCTTTCTTTTAAAGCCTTTGATAAAAGACCCACACCTTGATATGAGAACAAACATAAGTTGGTTTATTCAGTGAGGTGTACTTGCAGGAAAGTATTCTTAGGATTGCACTGTTAGTCCATCGAGACAAAAATAAGCTTGTGTCTTGTGGTACCATGACGGTAAAATTCTGTTCCAGCATAAGCCTTCTTGTTCAGATGCAGTTCATGGGTCATCACAGTCATTTTATGTAGGAAGTATGGAAAAAACCAGGCTTAAAGGGCTGAGAAATTTAGTTATGTAACATTCAGACCTATGAATAAAAACATAGTGGCCATTAACTACTTCTGCTAAGCTAGTTGGTGGCAGTGGAAAGTGCCCTGAAGTCACAGCTGACTTATGGCAAACCCCGTGGGGTGTTCAAGGCACAAGACATTCAGAGGGGGTCTGCCATTGCCTCCCTCCGCATCATGACCCTGGCATTCCTTGGTGGTCTCCCATCCAAATACTAGCTAGGGCCGACCCTGGTTAGCTTCCAAGATCTGACGAGAACGGGCTTGCCTGGGCTATCCAGTTCAGGTTTAAACTAGTTAGCCCCTGTAAAAAAGAAACTCCACTGCACCTGAAGGAGTAGACTCCTATGAAAGCTTATGCTGGAATAAAATGTTGTTAGCCTTTAAAGTGTTCTACTCGTGTTAATTTTGGCACATCTTGATTCTTTCTTTACTCCAAGCTTACACTAGATGGCATACAAGCAAAGCCAAGAGCAGGCAGAGTTGAGCTCCTTAAATTGACGCTGGGCCCCACTGTGTTTGACTCTTAGAGTTCTCAGGTATTTATGCATTTGTTTTCTGATGCCTGTACAGGATGAAGTGCCCTCTAGCCAGCACAAATAAAAGATTCCTTATGAATACTATTAAGAACACGTTACAGTCTGCGAAAGAGCCAGACGAGGGACAGAAGCATGAGGAAGACGACAAGGAAGACGAACCAAGCCTGAGCAAGGAAGAGATGAAACCAAAGAGACACAGATTGCACCCTTACACACCTAGTTTTCGGGCTAGGAGAAGGGTCAGCTGTTCACCTCCGAGGCATCGGAACAGGAACCGGCACACACAGGAGAAGTATGAAAAGCAGTCCAGCAAGTGATGAAGAAGATGTGCTGTGTTAAGGCAGGAGTGTCATTAAACACTGAATGGGGGAGATGGTCATCTGAAGTTGTCATGTTTTAAAAAAACAGATTGCGTAGTTCTTTACTGTTTTTCTCCCTCCCTAATTAAACTCTCCTCTGATAGTTGTATATCTGTGCTTAGCACAAGTTTTGACTATGCCTAAGTCCTTAGAAGTAAAGGGGTTTAGGAGAATCTCACTGATTAGGATGGCACTGTTAGAAACATCACCGTTCGATTAACATAGATAAATTTGCATTGTGTATATATGAAAAAGCTTTGCATTGTCTCTTTAAAAGCTTCATAAACCCTCTTTGGTTTTAAAGTGTTTCTGTTCCATGGGCAAGGGAAGCTGGAAACTCTTCTTCGCCCTCATATAACTGAGTTGGGGGAGAGTATTGCTTCAAAATGGATGGCATTAAGTGCCAGAGTGTTACAAATTAATTTAACTTGCTTTAGATTTGTTTAATTTATACTGCCCTTGTCTATAGCCCAAGGAGGCATTTGTCCTGATAAAGCATGTTAGCTTGTATCCTGCTGAACATATACACTGACTGAAAGATTATTGTCAATGGAAGACAGCTTTATTGCCTCCCACTATAGCCCGAAGTCCCCCAGGGAGAGCCTAAGGGGGGAGCCAGAGGTCTGCCACGGGAGGGAAAATCAACAGAAATCCTTTACAGCAGCAGAAATGTTTGTGGGATCTAACCCACTATTTTGCGAGCATAGAATATTCCCCAACTTTGAAATAAATGAAGGCAACCTCTATTTGACCCAGGATTCTATATGCTCATTAGAGCTTTGTAAAACTTTGGAACAGTCACCGTTAAGATCCAGTGTGTGAATTCGGCTCTCACAGTTGTGCATCTGACTGGTCAATTGACAATAAGTGAACCATCTAATAAGTACAACACCTATGTATTGCTTTTTCTCTGCTGAGCAGCTATATGGTGAAGAATGTTAATTCTAAAAATTAAGCTTTACTACTTAAGGGTCTAAACAAAACAGTATAGGAAGTTGCCTCTTGAATTTGGGTTGCTGTTATGATAGAGTTGTACCATAGAGTTCTAAATGCTTCTTCTCTTCTGGTAATTGACATTTGTCATTACTTTGTTCTGTGGAATTATCCATTGACATTTACAGGCTTTAGATATGGTTTATCTAGTGAGTGTGTGATTGTTTTCAGTGAGTTAATATTAAACTTGTACAACTGAACATGTGTCTAGAATCTTTCCCCTAAGTTAGACAGGGTTTGGGGGAGTGGCTTACAGTCTCTTACCAATGAAAAGTTCAGGTATTAAATATCCAATGCAGATACAGCAAATAAATGTTTTATAACTCTTTCTGGGAGATGGGGAGGACTTTAGCTTCAAAATCGTTATTTTCTTTTTACATTTTTACACAGAGACTTCACAGATTTAACACGATTCATAAACCTAATGTTGGGTTTCAAATGGACCCCAATGAAGTCACTTTCACAAAACACCACATGTCCAGCTCTAATTCCGTTTAATAATTAAAATATGCAACATTGTGTTCTGAATTACTGTTTACATAGTATAGGGGTTCAAATATACTAATTATTTTGTGGTGAATTTTACATTCTCTATATCTTCCTCCTGATCTTGGGCACTGATTAAGAGAAGACAGAGCCATCCTAAGCTGGTTTGCTGTCAGGTCTGTTCAGTGGGTCGTAGTTCCCAGTTCCTCAGTTTGCACGAAGGATCTCTCATTTGCTGGATAGACAACAAGTCGCTCAAAGGCACCGTGGGAGCCAGCATGGTGTAGTGGTTACAGTGTCAGAGTGGGATCTTAAAGATCCAGGTTCGAATCATCACTCTGCCATGGCAGCTTGCTGGGCAGTCTTGGGTGCCAATGATGCCCTCTCAGCCTAACCCATCTCACAGTGTTGTTGAGGGGATAAAATGGAGGAGAGGAGGATGTGAGCTGCTTTGGGTTCCCATTGGGGAGAAGGGTGTGGGGTATTAATGAAGTAAAATAAAACAGTCACTTGAGGTCTTGACCCTTTCTCATGCCTTGACCTTTCATTTATCTTCCCTGTGTGAGTAGATATTGCCCATCACTATTACTTTTCTTCCTTTCATGCTCCGCTGATCTCTTCAGGCATCAGAATTTTGGGACGGGATGGGTCATGAGCAGAGCCCTACTGATATAGGCACCTGCCATTGCCATCTGTAGTGATTCTATGGATGTAGCTCAAGTTTTGATGGAGATCCTGTAGGTGGTAAAAGCTTTATATACTTGACATACAACATATCCAGGAAACTATTCTATACTTCTAAGCATATTCTAACTGATACACTGGTTAAAATATAAATAAAATATATAACTATCTAAGTTAAATACCTTAAGTGAGACCAAAATACTCTAACTTTGTTCTGTTGCTTCAGACCAACATGGCTGCCTACCTTGAAAATATTTGCAGTTATCATAGGTAACACAGGTAATTTTTGAACCAAAGCATATTCCTCTGCTCTGAAGTGCAGACCCACTCATCATCCATGCAATTGAATCATCCTAGGAAGATGTCGATTGAAATAATGTGAGAACATCACACTTTATAGCTGTTAACGCTTTACCAATGAACTTCCTAATATGTAGTTTAAATACTGAGGTGGGCAATTATAACATTGGGAATATGTCAATGAAATCTCTCTTTTTAATTAGAATATTTATATCCTACTTCTCTATATAAAATGCTTGAGGAGGCTTATAATAATTCGAGTGTGTATCCAGCAGCTATTGAAATAAATATTGGTCAACAGCAGTGAAAGCAAGCAGCTAAAAAGCTGCCTAAACCCTAAAACTGGAGGGCAGCACATAAAACTCAAGAATGGGAACAGTAAAACACCTGAAATTCTCAGTAAACAACAAGAAACAAATCAGCCAATATTGTCATGTGATAGGAAAGGTCAAATTTTGCTTAAACGGAAGGCAGGATGCAGATGAGAATGATTTCAGTATGCATGTGGGGAGGATGGCATCCTTTTTGCTCCTACGAAGGCTTTGGAATTAAGCTAAGTTATGTCATAGGCATGTTTCCAACGTTTGTCAGAACTGTGGTTCAGTTTGAGTCTGCCTGCTTGACCCCCCCCCCCCGCGCCCTAAAATGCTCCCCTGTGCCTAGAAAAGGGTTTGATAAATTCCAGGGGACAGGTTGCCATGGCACCCAGAAATACTGCAATATTTTCAAGTAATGATTCTATCGTAGTGTCTCTTGGCAAACGTCAGTGGAGATCCAAAATGTATTTATCATTTCACATCAGAATATATTTTTTTTATTTCGTGATATTAAAACACATGCACAACGGACTTGCCATTGCTTATTTATATATTAACTTGTTTATATATGTTAACTGTTCAGTGGTGGTATGGCAGAATCATAGAGTTAGAAGGAGCCATACAGGCCATCTAGTCCAACCCCCTGCTCAATGCAGGATCAGCCTAGAGCATCCCTGACAAGTTCGTCCAGCTGCTGCTTGAAGACTGCCAGTGAGGGGGAACTCACCACCTCCCGAAGCAGTTTATTTCACTACTGAACTACTCTTATTGTAAGAAAAAAAATCCCTAACAGCCAGTGTTTTCCCACCTCTAATTGAAACCCATTATTGCTAGTCCTCTCCTCTGCTGCCAGCAGCAATAGCTCCCTTCATTTCTTAACCACTTGTTTCCTGTACTGCCTCCAATATTCAGTTAAATGGATATTTTTAAAGCAATGGTGAAAGTACAAAAAATTGTAGAGAAGGTAGGTTAGGATTGGAGGTTAGATTTTTGTTGGGATGAGAACTTAATTTACATGCTACACCACTGAAGGCTGAAAAATGAATCTGATGCCTAAATTTTTGGGATGGTTCCTAGAGTCTCTCATCCACAGGTAACGATGACTCTGCTGCTCTGTCCATATAGCATTTCCAAAAATCCCAATTGATTTCAACTTTCTACCTTGCAATCTAATTTTGGTACCCAGGGCTTCTCAACTACATTTCCTGGTAGCACTGGTACTTAAATGTACTATGGCCACTGACTCTTCTCCGGCATTTCTATTTGGAAGGGCTGTGATGTATTCAGCCTTTGTGCCAGGCAGACAAGTTACCCTGAGACAGTGGGCCCATCAGAATCCCAGCTACCTAAATGTCTAGTGCCAGACTCTCTACAATGACTGACATCTGCAAGATCAGGTAACAGTCCCACTGGGTTGCTTGTATGGAATTATTTTCTACTCCCTCACAACCATATTCATGGTTCTGGAGCTGTTGGCATGGCAGTGGGATTTTTCTAAAGTGTCTCTGAGTGAAGGGAGGGTTTGTCTTTTGCATATGGTCTGGTTCAGCCACCCTGGCTTCCAGGAAACATGCTTTTCCTCGAGAGTCTTTTACATCTTATGCCAATAAGAAGAGGAGGAAGAAGAAGAGATTGGATTTATACCCCGCCCTTCACTACCCAAAGGTGTCTCAGAGCGACTTACAAACTCCTTTCCCTTCCCCTCCCCACAACAGACAACCTGTGAGGTAGGTGGGGCTGAGAGAACTCTTGACAGAAACTGCTCTTTTTCAAGAACAGCTGTGCCGGAGTTATGGCTTGCCCAAGGCCATCCAGCCAGGTGCAAGTGGAGGAGTGGGGAATCAAACCTGGTTCTCCCAGATTAGAGTCCACACACTTAACCACTACACCAAACTGGCTCTGTAAGCATAGACATGAAGGCCAAAGAATTATATACATTATTTTATTATTTAACAAGATCCCCCACACACCTTTCTGCCCTCTTAGGGCCACCAAGACGGCTAGCAAAATAAAACATACAAATTAAAGTCTCATCTTAAAAGCCATTAAAAATAACACATCACAATTTATAACCAGAGATTAAAATAAATACAAAAGATGAAAACAACAGTTAAAACACTTGGGGAGGAAGGAAGGATCACTGAGGGAATACCAAGCAAAACAAACAAGTCTTCACCCACTGATGAAAGACGGCAACAGAAGGGAAACAGGCAAGTCTGCCCAGGGAAAGTTTCAGAGTTTGGGTGAGGGCACCCGAAACAGGGCCTCCAAAGATGACAGCAGTGGTTGACTGGGTTCATAAGGGACTAAGTGGTCCTCCAGGCATTGGTCTCAAACCATACAGGGCTTTAAATGTCAGCACCAGCACCTTGAATTGTGCCCAGCCAGTGTAGATGAGCCAAGACTGGAGTGATATGGTCCTTAGGACCCACTCCAGTCAACATCCTGCCTGCAGCATTCTGTTTCTGAAGTTTCTGAACACTTTTAAAGGACAGCCCCACATAGAGCACATCACAGTCATTATGTGAGAGTTCCACAGTCAGACCTTTCAACATTTTCAGGATGATTAAAAAGCAGCCATTGAAGGAATGGTATATTTGAATTAGAGTCATGGCATTGGAGGAGGGAGATAACTCCCCATGCACATTTTCCCTCTTAGAAATTACCTCCTCAAACTGCTTTGAATGGCAGTAAGGAAATAAGATGGCTACCTGTATAGTATTTGTTACTTACCTTGATCCAAATAAGTCCTCCTACCCTCTCCTGTAGTTTTTTTTTTTAACATTAAAGAAAACACTGGGAAATTGAGCGGTGGCTCAAGTGGTTAAGATGCTGAACTGCAGGCTGTGGAAGGTCAGTAGTTCAGCAGTTCAAGACCCGAGTGTGCCGCATGACGGAGTGAGCTCCCGTCTCTAGTTCCAGCTCCTGCCAACCTAGAAGTTCGAAAGCAAGAAATTGCAAGTAGATAAATAGGTACCACTTCGGTGGGAAGGTAACAGCATTCCGTGTGCCTTGGTGTTTAGTCATGCCGGCCACATGACCACGGAAACGTCTTTGGACAGCGCTGGCTCTTTGGCTTTGAAACGGAGATGAGCACCGCAACCCTAGAGTCGGACTCGACTGGCTTTCGAGCAAGGGAACCTTTACCTTTACTATCTACTATTCAATGAGTAGTTTGTCCCAGCACAAAGCAGCTCCCATCTGCTTACTAGACTTTTACCTGCATATTTTTAATGGGCTTCAAAAGTGTGTTTTTCTTTTTAAAATAATTTATTTTATTATTATTTTACAACAAACAGCGTATCAAACTCTTTTGTACAGTACATGTTTTACTGTCTTCGCAGTAACTCAGATGAAGAACTTATCCAGCCCTAAACACAGTCTAATGTCTGTTGTTGTACTTCATAATATCTGCTATGACAATTCCAATATTTGGCAAATAGAGACAAAATATCTACAGATTTTGAAGTCGATCATAATTTCTGTGTCCACATATATTTATAAATTGTAATTTTATTCATATACCACACATACCAGACTTTGTTCAACCATTGCCTCAGAAATGGAGTAGACTGATGTTTCCAGTTCTGGTTGGAGTTCTAACCAGTTTCTTTCCAAGCTGGTACGTGTATGTGGTGGCTAATAGCAACCAGCCATCAAATGCCCTCAGTGTCCATTTAAGCAGTTACCTTCTAGCCATTAATTCCACAAAAGAGCATTTTTAGCTATGGGAAATTAATTTCAGCCAGCATTGTGTTATCATGTTCAAAATGAGCTTGGCTTTACTGCAGTGCAGAAATAATGAAGCTACCTGTAGCTTTTACTGTAACATTTACTCAGTCCATAAAAGTGATTCACATGATATGTGAACTGGTGCATTGCACCTTAGGTTTGTTGGTGAGAATATTTGTTTGTTAAATCAGGAATATGTGTTATTCATA